GACTGCTGCTGGCCACGGTCAGAGGAAACCCCAAGCAGCTTCCTTTAGGGGACAGTTTCTACTAAGCTCTCCTCCCCTCCTCAGCCACCTCACTCTGACCCACATCAGTGGGAACAGTCCAGGCCAGCCACCCAGACCCACCACTGCTAGCCTCAGGCCGCAGCCCAGAGCCCTATCCCTCAGAGCAGAGGGGTCTGGGAAACAGGGTGTCGGGGCTGGGGGACAGCAGCAGCAAGTTCTCTGAATGAGCCAGGTACTTGCGGGGCCACTGTCCTGTGCCAGGCACCAAAGATTCGCCAGGGAACAGGAGCAGCGCTTACAGTGTTCTCTTTTTTCCTTTCTTGTGGAAATTTAGGGTAAGCAGAGCAGTGGCCTGCCAAGTGCTACATTCTTCCTTTCCTGCAAAAGCATCTGTTTAAATACTTTTGGCCTCAAAGGAAAGAACGTTAGTGCATTCCAGGGCACGAGGCCTCCTTGGGTTGAGCTAGCTGTGTATGCGCAGAGCACTGCAGAGAGCACGTGTGCATGTGTGTGCATGTGCGTGTGTGTGGGTATGTGTGTGTAGGTGTGCTCACACGCACAGGCTCACCTCCCTACCCACCAGGTGCCCCTGGCTGGTCTTAGAGCAGAGATGTACCAGTGCAGCCTGGCCCAGCCCAGGCTTATACAGGCAGCATGATTATGGTGACTTCTGCAAACTCACTTGAGGTCTGGGGGCTCTGGGGCACCTGAGAGTCACAGCCTCTCTGAGCTCCTCCCATGTTCTTTGATCTTGGAGGAGATGGGAACAGAGTTGTGGGGAGTGAGCGGGAGGTGAAGGTGTAGGCCAGGTTGGGCTGGGTGGTGAAGGATCTCCCAGTCAGGGGCCGCCTCCTGTGGTAGATTACTTGAGGTCAGGAGTTCAAGACCAGCCTGGTCAACATGGTGAAACCCCACCTCTACTGAAAATACAAAGATTAGCCAGGGGTGATGGTGCACGCCTGTAATTCCATCTACTTGGGAGGCTGAGGCAGGAGAACATATACGTTGATGTCTGTGGAGTGTGCCAGAACTGGAGGGTCAGAGGTAGCCATGTGTTTAGCTGCCCCAAACTCCTCTCTGGGCCTCTGGGGAAGAATCTAAGTTGGTCAGTGGAGCAGGACCCCGGACTTTGCCCAGTCCTTGGCCTCTCCCTGGCCCTCTTCTTGGCTCCTGGAGAAGACAAGAGCTTGGGAAGGAGAGCAGGCATCCCAGGCACTCCCCTTGCTACTCTCCGCCCTGGGAGTCCAACCTGAGTGTGCAGCCAGTGTGCCTGAGGGAGGGATCCTTGTGGTCCAAGTTGAAGACGCTGTTCTAAAAAGCATGTGGCTTTTGCCATGTCACTTAGCCTAGGCCTGAGTTTCCTTCTGTGTCAAATGGGGTAATGAGCCATATCCTACAGCACCAGGTTGTTCGAGGTTAAGGTGACATCAGAGACGTGGAGGTACTTTGAGAGAGGGTATGAATGATGTTATCATCAAAGAATAGCGTGGGTACAGGAGCACATGAGTCACACGCGTGCAGCTCAGTGGAGTTTCACAGCGTGAATAAAACACATTATCAGCACCAGCTCAAGAGCCATCATCCCCAGAACCTGGAGTGCCCCTGGTGTCCATTCCCGCCCTTACCCGCCCCACAGAGGGCACATCGCCCTGACCCTTACCACTGTGTGTTTGTTTCTGCCTGTGTTTGAACTGCACATGGAGGGAGAATGCTGCTGTGAACATTCTTTTGGGGACATATACTTTGATGTCTGTGGAGTGTGCCAGAACTAGAGGGTCAGAGGTAGCTATGTTTAGCTTTTTCAAAAAGGCAGTTTCCTAAAGTGGTGATTGTATCGATTTACACTCCCACTAGCACCACACAGAGTTCCTTTATTATACCTGCCCTCCCACACTTGATTTTGTCTAAATGGTATTTAAATTCAAGGAGGGATGATTAATATTTCTTTCTCTGTTGCCTCTGATTTAGATCTTGGAAAGGACTTTGGAACCCGATAGCTCGGATGAAGAGCCACCGCCTGTGTACTCCCCGCCAGCCTACCACATGCACATGTTTGACCGGCCCTACCCTCTGGCTCCCCCGACTCCGCCTCCCCGGTGAGAATCTGTCATGTCTCAGAGCACAGGGTGGTAGGGAAGAGGATCAGTGGCTGGGGCTGTGTACAAACAACAGGAAACTTGGCTGGACCCCTCAGTATATTCTCCAAGAACAGGCTTCTACTGCAGCAAGAGACATTTTAGCTAGATACCAAGGAGAACTTGCAAAAGGTAAGGATTGCAAGCGCAAACATTTCCTAAATTCCTACTGTAGGCTAGGCGGTGTGTCTCGTACCATATGGGACACAGAGTTAAGTAAAGCTCAGCCTCTGCTTTCTGGGAGCTTATAGTCAAGGGAGATGCCAGAGTAGGAATGACAAACAGGGAATGTGTACTGACACTTCCCCTCCCAAGCCCACAGCAAACATGACTGATTCATCACTGTGCTCTTTCCTGCTGAGTCAAGACAGAGCCTCAGATCCTCCTCAACACAGAACACAGCATTCCCAGCCAGTCATCAGTAACTGATGGAATGGCTAGCTGCCATCCTTGGGCTAGGGATGTTGTGGGGATTTTTAAGCAGTGAGAGCAAGTCTCTTTCATTAAGGTAGTTTGATAACTGGAGGCAGGGAGGTAGACTGCAAGGTCCCTGGAAACTTCTTCCAGGTTAGAGACTGTAATTTGGAAGCTTAAAATGAAGCTAGGCTGGGCACAGTGGCTTACGTCTGTAATCCCAGCACTTTGGGAAGCCAAGATGGGTGGATCACTTGAGGTCAGGAGTTCAAGACCAGCCTGGGCAACATGGTGAAACCCCGTCTCTACTAAAAATGCAAAGATTAGCCGGGGGTGGTGGCGCATGCCTGTAATTCTATCTACTTGGGAGGCTGAGGCAGGAGAACCGCTTGAACCCGGGAGGCAGAGGTTGCAGTGAGCCAAGATGGCGCCACTGCACTCCAGCCTGGGCAGCAGAGTGAGACTCTGTCTCAATAAATAAATAAATAAATAAATAAATAAATAAGCAAGCTAGTTGCCAACAAGGTCCCACGGGTCTCTGGGGTGCTTGTTTTTCTGGGCTCCACGTTTGTGCTGGGGCTGCTGGAGCTGGGGTGTGGCCTCTTTGCCCTAGAGCTGCTGTTTCTTAGAATGGCTCAGGCCTGGAGTGGTGAGGGGGTGCGGAGATGATGGGACAGGGCACCTGCCCCAGTTGGATCTTCCTTTCTCCCCAGAACAGCCCTAGAGCAGTGATGAACTCTGTTATCACACAAGTATAGCTAGCATTGACTAAGCACCCTTCCAATGCCAGAAGCAGAGCAGGTTCTTTACCTACACCATTGCATTTAACGCAGAGGCGGGCACTGTTGTCATCACCCCTATTGATGGACGAGGAAACTGAGCCTTGAGAGATTCCATAACTTCCCCAAGACTAAGAGCTGGAGTTTGAATCCAGGTCATTCTGACTTAAAGCTAATCACTCTTCACTGCTGTGTCCTGTCACCTCCCGAATGAGAAAAATCTCTGTGATTGCAGCTTAGGGAGCTCATAGAGTCAGTCCTAGATAGTTACTGAGGGAGGAGGGAGGGAAGTGTTTTGAGTCAGGGACAGGAACAGAGCTGGGATCTGTATCACGAATGGTACCAGGAGCTGGCAGGCTGTACTGGAGTGGGAGGTGGGGAGTGAGTGAGTGGGTCTGGGTGAGACATAGGCAGGACTTGCAGCCTGGGATGGATCACAGAGCCCCGGGCTAAATGATTTTCCTTTCTTTGACTTTTTGTTTTTTTGAGTCGGTGTCTCACGCTATCATCCAGGCTGGAGTGCATTGGCATGATCTCTGCTCACTGCAACCTCCGCCTCCCAGGTTCAAGTGATTCTCCTGCCTCAGCCTCCCGAGTAGCTGTGATTACAGATGTGTACCACCATGCCTGGCTAACTTTTGTATTTTTAGTAGAAGGGGTTTCACCATGTTGCCAGGCTGGTCTCGAACTCCTGATCTCAGGTGATTCACCCACCTCGGTCTCCCAAAGTGCTGGGATTACAGATGTAAGCCATTGGACCTGCCCCGACCCCCACCTTTTTTTTTTTTTTTTTTTTAAATATTCCAAGATACTTTTGCAAAAAGTTCAGTTTCTACTAGGCAGAGTGGTTCCACCTATTTTTCAGAAGGGAAAACTGAGGCCATAAGAGAAAGGAGTTTTTTTTCTTTAAATAGAAACAGGGTCTCACTATGTTGCCCATGGTGAATTTGAACTCCTGGCCTCTAGCGGTCCTCCCGCCTCAGCCTCCCAAATAGCTGGGACTACAGGGCATACCATCATGCTTAGCTGAAAATCCCAGTATAAATGTGGTATGGATATCCACACCACATCCTCCCTCCCTACTCTGGCTGGGTGTTCAGCCTGCTGTGGGGGCGGGCGGGCAGGGTGGTGCAGTTCAGTGATGGGAGTCTCACTTGGGGGCAAGGTAACCTCAGCACTAGACCAAGGCTCAGGAGACCCTGTGGGCTTTCGACAAGTTACTGCTCTTGCTTGAGGTTCTGGAGCCTGACTCAGGAAATGAAGGCTTTGCTGGGTTGGGAGTGGATGCACTGAGGAGAACTTGACTAGTGGAGTCAGACAGAAGCAGTCTGTTTTCCCCACCCCTTCCTTCACCTGCCTAGCTTAGAATTCTCCAGGCACCTTTGCAATGTGGCCTTTGGCTCATTGCTTGACCTCTCTGAGCTTTGTTTGCCTCCCCTGAAATGGGAATAGTAATTTCCATGTTAGCACTGAGGAGGACTGAATGAGATGTGTGTGGAGCACTTAGCACAGTCCCAGTTATAGACCAGATCTATAATCAGTGGTTTACTGCTCCCTCCTGTCCCCCAGCTACACTGGCTGGTCTCTGAGTTTAGCTCTAACATTGAACATTGAGACCAGAGGCGAGGCTTCCCCCAGAGGCCAGTGTTCAGTAGAGGCACGGGTCCCTTTGCCCCCGGATGGCTCTGCTAGACCTGGGCCTCTAGGCCATCTCCAGTGCCTTGTTCAGTCCCTCTATCCAAGACATTCATTTCCAGCATTGACTGAATTGCCTGCTGTGTATGCAGGTGCTGAGCCATGTGTGTGATGAGGTGGTGAGGACAGCACTCCTGAACCATGTGTGTGAACCATGTGCTGAGCCATGTGTGTGATGTGGAGGTGAATACGGTGCTGCCTGTTTCCCCACACACTGCCAAGGAGATCAGGGTCTAGGGAAGCCCAAGACACAGGGGCAGGGAAGGCTGCCAGGAGAAACTGATATCCAGGCTATGACCTGAAGGTCACATTGGCAGTAATGTGGAGAAGCAGAGGACAGGGAGGCGCTCAGGCAAAGAAGGAGCATGTGCAGAGGCCTGGAGGCAGGAAAGAGGGCCCATCTGGGGGCCTCCTGGAAGTATCTACCGGTGGGTAAGGCTGGAGAGGTAAGCAGATCAAGGGCCCTGTGGCCTTCCAGGGAGCTTCCATGTTCTCTTGCAGCCAGCCGCGGAGCCATTCAAGGGCCTTAACCTGGAGAGCGACACAATCAGGTTCATGTTTTAGGATTCTTCCTCTGGCTGCTGAGGGAGATCAAATTTGAGTGGGGGAATGGCCTGGCCCCCTTCTGCTACCTCCAGTCACTGGGGTGCCAAGAACCTGCAGATGCGGCAGAGTTTGGGAGCGTGGGCATTGGCCTGCTAGGGCAAGAGAGGCAGGGCCACCCCCCGGGAGCATGCTTCAAATGTCACGATCCCTGGGTCCAGGTTTTGCCTGGATGATGTGTGTGTCCTGGGACATGGCTTGAACCACCTCTGGACTTCAATGTCCAGTTTTTACCAAAAATTTTACCTGGAAGGCCTGTCTCTGAAATCCGTTTCCATCAGGTCTGATGTTCCATAGGTAAACCTAGGGGTCCGATGGGGCTTGAAGTTGTAGTTTTGGGGTCCAGAGTCAGAGACTCTGGGCTGGGAAATCCTCCCGCCTCTCTCCTTCCCCTCCCCCAGCCTGTCCTTCCCTCCATCTGTCTGAAAGAAAGACAGTCTCTGAAACCCAGGGGACCCATCCACACAGGCCGCCTGCTGTTTTTCCGTTAAAATTACAGCCTTGGAAGTTTTTTTTTTTACTTGCGTCTCAGCTCATTTCTGACATTCCTTTCCGACCACAATGGAGTTGCCTGGGCTGCCTGTGCTCAGGGCCCCCTGGCTCACGCAGCTGTGGGCTGACCTCATCTCTACCAGTGCCAGGCAAGGGGCCGGGAGGGGGCTGGGCCTGGCCTTCCTTCAGGACTACAGGCCCAGCAGCAAGGAAACTTAGCTGAGAACAGGGGCCTCCTCCACCTTGTCCCCTTCTGCACTTGGAGTCCTCATGGCTAGAGGAATCCAGATGCACCTCTGAGGTTCTCCCTCCGCTGCTTTCCTGGGTGGCTCCGAGGTGTGGTTAAGTTGGGGGTGGGCACCCGTGTCCCAGATGAAGACCCTGAGACCCCAAGAACGGGTAATACCCCTGGCGAGGGTCCCTCCCTGCTGTAGCCTGGGGTGGTCTGCGAGTCCCTAAGAGATGGGGCTTCCTCTCTCCCCATCTCTGGCCTTTGGAGAAAAATGAAGCCTCCAACAGTGGCAGAAGGTGGCAGTGATGTAGAAAAAATTTGGCCTAGGAATGGGAGTCCCGGGTTGTGATGCAAGCTCCTCTCCAGACCATTCCCTCTCCCCTTGTGTCTGTGCAGCCAGAGGGTGGACGAGGCGTGCTGGGGTTCCCTTGGCTCCAGTCTGCAAGAGCTGAGCTCCCACCAGGCACTTAGCAGCTGGTTATCCCGTCTGCTGCCGCCCCCGCCCCTTCCCCTCGCCCCCGCCGCCGGCCACCCGCCCAAAATAGAAAAGGAAAGGAAGTTATTTCCATAGTCAGCTGCAGCCCGGAAAAGCTCCTCTCCAGTGAGGGGGCGGGCGGGATTCCTAGAGCTGGAGACCAAATCAAAGCCAGGCCCGAGAGAGCGAGAGCGGCCCCCACCGCCCGGCCCTCGGCTGCCTTCTCAGTGTGCCGTTTCCCTGACTCAGCGGAACACGTGTCCTGCGGTTGCCACGCTGCAGGCTGCCATGGAGCTGTGGGGAGCTCCTGGCTGGGCTCCGAGCTGCCCTCAGGCCCAGGGCGGTAGGGCGGGAGCCTGGGGGTCAGGGAGGGTGTGTGTGCCACCCCCTCTTCCTCTACTGCCTTGCCCAGCTGTTGGCTCTGCCATGGCACGGAGCTCCTGCCACACACACACCAGGCCTGGAAAGAGTGGTCCCGGAGCACCCTGAGAGCGAGATCCCTTCCACACTCACCTCTCCACACACTTTTCAGAACACTGCTCAGGACATGGCCTCCTGAGGGGCTCCCCAGCACCTGGGCAGGGAGGCAGCAGTTTCTAGCTAAGGAAGCCGAATCCGAGAGGGAAACAAGGGCCCACCTAAGACTACGCCGCCGGCTGGTGGTTGAGCCAGAACTGGAGCTCGGATCTGCTTTACCCTCTGTACGGATCCTGGCATCCCCATATGCCCCCTCTTCAGCAAACCAACATGCAGCAGGCTGTGCTGTTGGTGGCTTATGTGTCTGTTCCTTTGGACCATACCTGTCACTCAGCACCGTGAGCCTGGCACTGTGTAGGTGCTAGCATAGAAGCATGAAAGGATACAATCCCTGCTGTTTTTAGGGCACATTTGTAAACATCTATAGCTAAATCCACAGAGTTCCACATGTGCACCATGGACAGACAGCGCTGAAGGTCTAGAGACCTGGGCGGGCATGTGACTGGACAGCATGAATGGCTGGGGAGTTCGCTGAGGCCGGTGGAGACATCTCCAGTGATGACACAAAGTGACGGGCCTTTGTTCTGGGGGCAGTGGAGGCCATGGGAATCTCTGAGCAGGATCTGACCTGCCTGAGACCTGGTGTGATGGGGCCAGGAGACCTGGGGTTGGGCTTAATGACTCCCTCTTCCCTGTCACCTCCCATCCCCTAGTATCGACGTGCTGAGCTCTGCAGCCCCTACAAGCCAGAGACGCTATCGGAACTGGAACCCACCACTACTGGGCAACCTCCCGGATGACTTTCTCCGCATCCTCCCCCAGCAGCTGGACAGCATACAGGTAACAGGGGCCGCCCCCGCCTTCCACTCCCACCTGCCTGTCCAGCATCTCTCTTTGCCCACACAATTTGTGCCAGCCAGTTTTACTTCCTGATGTTTAAACCCAGGCTGAGCTATTTCTGTTGCCCTGGGTTCGTAGGGAAGGAATGCTGAACTGAAAGCCTCACTTCCTGCCTGGGTCTGGAGGTTTCCTGTTCTATCCAGGGAAGGTGACAGCCTAAGGAGGCTGTCTGCTGCAGCAGTCACCTCAGGCTGGAGAGAGGCGGGCATGGGGTGGCCAATGGTGGAGGGCCAGAGCACCCACCTTCCTCCCTCGGGAAAGGGCCAGAGGCAGCTTCTCGATAGATGTTGGCATGCCCCAAGGTGCCCCACAGCGGGGCAGGTCCACCCTGAGGCTGCTGGTGCCGGGAGAGGGTTGAGTTTGGGAATCCACGTATAGGCTGTTCCACAGTTTGCAGATTTCTTTTCAGGACTGTTCAGGTTGTAGATGAAGGTATGAGGTGGTCCGTGGCGTGGAGGAAAAATAGTTTTTAGGCTACTGCTGTGTCCCCTGCAGTGAGGGCTCTGACCTGTCCATTGGATTTTGGCTTGCCACTAGGTTCCATTAGGAGGTGTGAGCCTCGGGTGAGGGCTAGAGGATGTTGGACAGGGCGTGTGTGCAACCAGAGGGATATGGATGTTTGTGCAACATGTATCCTTGTGTGTACACGTTCAACATGCTCGCCCCCCTCCTCAGGGTAATGCTGGGGGCCCCAAGCCTGGGAGTGGAGACGGAGGTCCGCCTGCCATGACTGGGCCAGGGCCCCGAGACCAGGAGAGCCGCTGGAAGCAGTACCTGGAGGATGAGAGGATCGCGCTTTTCCTACAGAACGAGGAGTTCATGAAGGAGCTGCAACGAAACCGCGACTTCCTCCTTGCCCTGGAGAGAGGTGGGCAGTGCCTGCAGCCACTTCTCCCTGGCTGAAGAAGGGAGGTGATGCTGGCTTTAGCCTTGGGGCTCAGGAAAGCACTGAGCTGGGGGCTGAGGGGCCAGGTGCTTTCTGTCCTACTGAGCCTTGACTCCCACCAAGTTATCCCATGGGAGCCTCAGAATTCTGCCTATGGGGACCTGGGTCACTAACCCACCCCTTTCTCCCTCGGGACTCAGAGGAAGAAGGGTGTGCACTCTTAGGCCTTATTCCCTTTGCACACCTGCTGTGTGCCAGGAACTGGCCTTGGCACAGGGCAGCAGGGAGAAGAGCACTGCCCCTCCTCACAGAGCCCCAGCCCCAAGGCAGGCGTGATGTGTCTGGAGCTCCGGGAACAGAATGACTGGGTTCGTGAACGCCAGGGTTGGGGAGGCTCTTGAGTGGAAGACCTTAGAGCAGGGGCTCTGGAACTTTGCAGGTATTTGGGTTGTCTCTGGGTTGGAGACCCTGCTCCCCAGCCTGGCTACCTTTCCCCTGCAGGGTGGGAGTGCGTTTGGGATAGAGGAAATGAGAGGGCAGTGGAGCTCTGTCCCTGTGATGGCCACAGCGTGAGAGCTTGTGTGTGTAACTGATGGTGTGTTGGTGGGGGAGGAGCAAGTTGTGCAGGGAGAAGGCTGGGCTGAGGCCCAAGGTTAGCCCCAGCTCTGTAGCGAAGGTGCTGGAAGGCTCAAGGCCTTTCCGTTTATTTTTTATTTATTTATTTTTTTGAGACAGAATCTCCCTCTTGTCGCCCAGGTTGAAATGCAGTGGCTCAATCTCGGCTCACTGCAATCTCCGCCTCCCAGGTTCAAGTGTTTCTCCTGCCTCAGCCTTTCAAGTAGGTGGGATTATAGGCACACACCACTGCACCTGGCTGATTTTTGTACTTTTGGTAGAGATGGGGTTTCACCATGTTGGCCAGGCTGGTCTCGAACTCCTGACCTCAGGTGGTCTGCCCGCCTTAGCCTCCCAAAGTGCTGGAATTACAGGCGTGAGCCACCACCCCTGGCCACGCCTTTCCTTTTAAATGAGAGAGTTTGGACTCCACAATCTCTCCGAGTCTTTTAATTCTGACATTTGAGATGGCTGTCAGGCAGTAGTTTCTCTTACTGCTGGTTCTTTGAGAGCTGGTAGATGTTGTGTGCACTCATATTTTGGGTGCCCGTGTGTGCTCATGTGCGATTCTGGGGACTTAGCCTCTAGCAAACTACCGTATCCCAGCCCAGCCTGTCCCTGGGAGCCCAGGAGCTAACCTCCCTGACCTATGAATGTGGTCCTTTTCCAGATCGATTGAAATACGAATCCCAGAAATCTAAATCCAGCAGCGTGGCTGTCGGAAACGACTTTGGCTTTCCATCTCCTGTCCCAGGTAACTTTGCCTTCTGGGGAAGAAAACCTAGAGGCATGGGGGGGCTCATACCCAACTTTGCTTTGCATATTTGGAGTTTGGGAGTAGGGTGAAAAAACAGATTGTAGGAGGGGGCGTGGGCCTCCTTAGCAGGCTGGTGGGGCCGCTTCTCCCCCGACCTCCATATCCACTCCATTTAGCTGCTCTGGGGTCTTTCCAATCCAGCCACTGCTGGGCTTCTGAGCCCCCATTTGTGATCAAATAACATAGGCTGGCTGAACTCTCAACCTATGCCTTGAGTATAGGCTAGTCAAGGACACATGGCCAGGTGCAGTGGCTCACACCTGTAATCCCAACACTTTGAGAGGCCGAGGCACATGGATTGCTTGAGTCCAGGAGTTCAAGACCAGCTTGGGCAACAAAGTAAGTCCCCCTGACTCTACCACAAAAGTACCAAAATTAGCTGGGCATATTGGTATGTGCTTGTAGTCCCAGCTACTCAGGAGGCTGAGGTGGGAGGATCACTTGAGCCCAGGAAGTTGAGGCTGCAGTGAGCTGTGATTATGCCACTGCACTCCAGCTTGGGTGACAGAGTGAGACCCTATCTCCAAAAAAACAAAGAAAAGAAAAGGACTCCAAACTGCCTTATGGTGGGATTCAGAGACTGATAACTCTTGGTCTGTTTCCTGAGGAAGTTTATGGTCTTGTAAGGAGAAATGCCCAGAAAACAGGTAGAACAAACTAGCAAAGCTGAGGACTTATTGATTTTAGCAAATGCATGGAAGAAAAGGAGGGCAGGATTAATCTGGGGAGTTGACTCATTCATTCATGACGTAGCTGGAGAATATCTCCCATCTGTTGGGCCCTGCCCTAGGTGTTGGAGGAAGAGGAATTTCTAGCTTTGTGTACAAGGTGGTGGGAAGTAAGAATTGCTGGTAAAGAGGGCCAGGCTCTTCTGCTCAGAAGCTCTAATGGCTGAAGGAGGGTTGGATGGGGTTGAGGGGTAGCAGTGCTCCTGGGATGCACAGACTACTGGGTTGAGCCACAGCTGGGAATGATGACCTGGTGCCTGTGTGTGAACAGTGGCCCCTCGTCAGTCAGTGCCCCCTGCCCCATGCGTACACAAGCCACCCGCCTCGGAGAAAGGCTCTTGCCTGGAATAGACCTTGCATCATGCAGTGGAGTTGGGGGTGGAGGAGCAGAGGGATGGGGAGCTGAGCTGACCCCAGCTTGAAGGGAGCAAATCCTGTGGAACTGACTCATAAGCAGCAGGCTGGGCGCTTAGGCCTCAGCAGATGTGCAGCTGGGAGTTTTAAGCAGGAGCCTCTTGTCCTTGATCCTGAATTAACTAGAGATACCGGGGCTGCTGAGATGGATCAGAATGACTCAAAGGGGACTTAGCAGGCAAGGTGACTGGGGATTAACCAAGTGGCAGAACAGAGAGCAGGGGTTTCAGAAAGGCAGCAAAAGACCCAAGCGGATGCCGAGCGAGCCCAGGAGACCGCGTGGCCGGCAGGGTTCTGACTCCAGGACTAGTCCCATTCTATTCCTACTCATTGTCTAATAGCCAGAAACCCTGTGGCTGGGAGGGAGCAGTGGATGGGCTTACCCTGGCAGGAAGGACAAGGGACTTGCTACAGGTGAATGCCGGCTCTGAACCAGCACCTCATCTGACCGTCACATGAATGTCGGGGTGCAGGAGGCCCCTTGTGTGCTGGTGAATGTTTCACAGCCAACTCTGGGTGCAGCAGGAGCCTGATATGTAGTGCTTGGTGACCTCCATGGTGGAAATACTCCCAAGCTACCACGGTGATGTCATGAAACATGGAGTTGGTCAGAGCGTGAACAGTTGGGAGCAGACACAAGCCGGCTCTCCGCACACACAGTAGACCACTAAACCCTCCCCATTTTTACAGAGGAGGAAACAAAGTCCACAAGGGGAAAGAGGAGCTCCTGGAACTCCACATCCTCCTTGCTTTAAACTCCCTCCTGGTCAGGGAAGAATCCTGCTCGCTCTTTGCATTTGTCCTCAGATGGGTGGGTATGGCTGGGACAGCGGCCATGGCTGGCCACACTGGCCGGCCTTCAGCAGGTGTCTCCTTCCAGGAACTGGCGATGCCAACCCCGCTGTGTCTGAAGATGCCTTATTCAGGGACAAGCTGAAACACATGGGAAAATGTGAGTCCCGCTCAGGCCCCGCTTCTCTCCCCAGCTTTTCTGAGACAGGCCCTGTGGCCTCCCAGGAGTAAGGGAACCCTCCAGAATGTGTAATGCAGCTGACTCTTGGTGAACCAGTGACATTTTCATCACAGGCTGGCTCCCTCAGCCTTCCTACCTCACTTCCCTCTACAGCTGAGTCTAGAAACAAATTAAGTTTTAAATCCTCTTGAGCCAGATGTCTACAGAAAAATAACGTGCCGCACATGCCCTCACCACAGTCCTCATGTTCACGTTCTCTGTGACTTGAGGAGGCTTGGCCGGAGCTGACTGCACAGAGAGGCCCTTGCTAAGCCTCTGTGGGGGTGGAGGACCTCTTTCCACAAAGTCCTAGCAGCCTTGAATGCCCCCTTCCCTCCCCCTCACCTCCCCGCCACATAGATCCACAGCCATGTGTGAATGAGGCTTCGATCCTCTCAGGCTCCATTTCAGGGAAAATCTCGGATTAGTCATGGAAATCCCAGAACCAACTTTGGAGGTGGCTAGGGGAGGGGCGGGAAGGCGGTGGCGGTGGGAAAGCGAGCCAAGATGCGTTGCAGTGTGTTGCAGCTGGGGAGGGAATACTCGGATCTTGAGCCGCCTGCAGTCCCTGGGCCTGGCTCAGGGTGTCCTGTGCTGCCCCTGCAGGCTGACCCAGGATGCAGTCTCTCACTCCTGGGGTGGTATCCTCAGGGATCTGTGATTCCTGTCACCTCTCCCTCCCCAGCTCCTACCCTTGCCTGCCCCCTGCTCCCACTCCAAGGGGTCTGGGTCCTCCCCTGGCCTTGCCCACACCTGGGAGGAGGCCATCTGGTGTGCTGGCTGCCAAGAGAATGACTCACAGGTCTCTCTGCCCCCAGCCACCCGGAGGAAGCTGTTTGAACTTGCCCGAGCCTTCTCAGAGAAGACCAAAATGAGGAAGTCAAAGAGGAAACACTTGTTGAAGCATCAGTCGTATCCTTTCCAGCCTGGCACTGGTAGGGGTGGTGGAAGCCAAGGGCTACGGAGCAAGACCCCTGCTGAACTCCCTGCAGCTGTGCCCTCCCCTGGGAGTGGGACGAGGCTCTGTGGCCTTCCCTTCCTCCTCCCCTTCCCTCCATGAACTTGGCCACCAGTCCACTGCCCATCTCTCGTTGCCAACCAGGGACCAGACCTAAGGACTAGGGTAGCAGCTCCTATCTCCCTTCTGTAGGCCCAGAAGTTGTCCTATAACTTTTTTTGGTCTGAGGTCATGTACTTCTTGGGAGAAAAAGTGGTTCTTCCGTCAAAATCAAACCTTCCCCTCATTTCTCTAGTTGAACTAGTGCAAGAGTCCTCCTCACTCCAAGCATGTTGGCCCTGCCTTCCTCGAGTAGAAATACGGCTTTGCACATTTTTACCCGAACTCCTATTCACGCTTCTCAAACAGGGCCTAGGATAGCAGAGACTCAGCAGCCAGAGGGAAACAGGGAGGAAGCTTTTTCTCCATCCCCAGAGATGTAAGCGGGGTGAGAGTGTCAGGGCCTGGCCACACCACTGACCTCAGGAAAAGGAGCCCGGGGGACAGTACTAGGTGTGTGGGGGGTCAGGTGGCTGTGTCAGATACCTCCAGAGCCTTGAGGGGTGGGGCAGAGAGTGGGTGGGACTGGGGGGACTAGGGCAGTGTCCTCTCATCCCTGGGACGGTTTTCCTGAATGGTCTGGCAGGCTGGGGGCTGCCGCGTCCACAGCCAACCTCCTGGATGATGTGGAGGGCCATGCGTGTGGTGAGGCTGGAGGGGAGTCGTAAGCTCCAACTTCTCTATGATCGGTGATCTCCCAGCGGAGTTCCTGGGTGTTTCATGGGAGCACCCACCCTGTCCCTTGGAGGAGACACTGCGGGTTGGTGGGCAGGTGACCCAAAGAAATGGATCCCCCCGACTTGGTCGACATCGCCTCTCCCTTCCTGCAACCCCCGAAAGGGGACCCTCCCCTACTTCCATCTAGATGTGTACCTGTAGCATGAAGTGCCAGGTACTGTTTCTGGGGAATATTCTCTTGGCTGTGAAGTGGCAGACAGGCCTACCCCCTTGGGGGACCCTCGGCCTGTCTGAACCAAGAACCAAGCACTAGGCAGCTTCCGTCTGTGGGCCCAGAGGCTTCTCAACTTTCACCCAGTCCCTTCCAAAGGCCACGTGGGCCAGAAGACTGCCTCAGACCCTACTGGGCCCGCAGCGGATCCTTGATCCTCATGCCACATTTGAGGGTCGGGAGGCATCCAGAAACAAGGACCGGAAGGGCCTTGGAGGTCATCTAGATAGTCCAGCTTTTCCATCCCTTTTATAGATGAGGAAATTGAGGCTCAAAGACGAGGGGAGAACTTGTCCAAGGTCTCAGAGCTCAGTGGTGGACCCTGGCCAGCACCTGAGTGTCCTGCTGCCTCTCTCCCTGGACCCATGCATCATCCACCTGGGGGGGATCTTCATGGGCCCCAAATGAAGGGGGCAGAGAGAGTCGGGTCAGCTGTCTTGGCCAGTCTGGGGCCGTGGCTGAGCGAGGCCCTACAGGGTAGAGGATGAGGCAGCTTCCCTCTCCTTTTCAGACGAAGACTTCCGGGGAAGGCGTCAGGAGGCGCCCAAGGTGGAGGAAGGCCTGCGAGAAGGACAGTAAAAGGTAAGGCCTGGAGCCATAGCTACCCAGGGACTGCCCAAGGCCAGGGCCCCCCACACTGTGCACCCCTTGTGTCCTCCCAGGTGTCCAGAGGCGCTGGGTTCAGGCAACTGGATAGTACAGGCCCCACGTGTCTTCCCTCATAGTTGCGGCAGGGACACGGGAGTGGGAACTAGTCCATTGCATGCCTTTTTTGGTTATTTATTCATTTGACAAAAGATAAGCACACCTGCCTATGACAGATGCTGAGAACAGGAAAACAAAATCAGCTTTGACCTTGAAGAGTTTACAGTGCAGTTGAGAAGACAGTCCAGGACACACACAGCACACTGAGAGGACAATTTAAGAAAAACTGGCTAGGCACGGTGTCTCATGCCTGTAATCCCAGCACTTTGGGAGGCCAAGGTGGGTGGATCACCTGAGGTCAGGAGTTCGAGACCAGCCTGGCCAGTATGGTGAACCCCTGTCTTTGCTAAAAAATACAAAAGTTAGCCTGGCATGGTGGCACGCACCTGTAATCCCAGCTACTTGGGAGGCTGAGGCAGGAGAATCACTTGAATCTGGGAGGCGGAGGTTGCAGTGAGCCCCAAGATCGCGCCATTGCATGCCAGCCTGGGTGACAAGAGTGAAACTTCATCTCAAAACAACAACAACAAAAAAACAAAACAAAAGAAAAACTGAGGTGGTCTCAACCCGGCTATGCACACACAGAGCTCTTTCCAGCCCCCTGCTTGGGTTGGGTGGGCTGCGATCTGCCACACCAGGATGAGGAAACCCCTCCTGAGGCAGCGGTTTCTGGCTGAAGTCCCGGGCCTCCAAGCCACTTCTCCTCCTCTCTTCCTGTGCACCCTCTTGGGGAGAAAGAGAAAATGCCACGGCCTCCTCCAGGACTTGGCCAGGACAGCTGTCCCTCTTCCAGCCCCCGTTTCCCATGGGAGAGGGGAAGCTGCCCGGCCTTCCCCAGCCACTGGTCTGGTCCCAGTGAGCAGCATCTACAAGGCTTTCTTGAGTTGATGGCGTGGCAGGCATGGCCCTGTGGCAGACTGTGGAGAAATACTCGCCTGCCTCAGGATAGTCACAATGGAGGGAAACCGGGAACAAGTAAATACAAGTGTCCTCTCCTCTCTGCCTGGGCAGCTGGCCCCCACACCTGTTCCACCTGACTCCCTACCATATCTACCAGGCACTGCAGCCCCTTCCATTCCCCTCAGGCTTTCCTCAAACACAGAGCCGCAGCCCACTTCCCACTGTCCTGGAATGCCCAGATAGAGCCTGCCAGGGAAACGCCTCCACTGTCATCCCACGCTGCTACTGTCTCCACATCCTTCTCCTTCCTGCTAGTCCCCAGGGAAAACAGGTCCTGTCCAAACCACGCCTACATCAGAACCTTGCTCATCATTCACTCATTCATTCACTCATTCATTCATTCATTCATTTATTTTGAGATGGAGTCTCCTTCTGTGGCCCTGGCTGGAGTGCAGTGGCGCAATCTTGGCTCACTGCAAGCTCCGCCTCCCGGGTTCACGCCATTCTCCTGCCTCAGCCTCCTGAGTAGCTGGGACTACAGGCGCCCACCACCATGCCCGGCTAATATTTTGTATTTTTTTAGTAGAGACGGGGTTTCACCATGTTAGCCAGGATGGTCTTGGTCTCCTGACCTCCTAATCTGCCCACCTCGGCCTCCCGAAGTGCTGGGATTACAGGAGTGAGCCACCATGCCCGGTTATTTATTTATTTATTTTGAGACAGAGTCTCACTCTGTTGCCCAGGCTGGAGTGCAGTGGCGCAGTCTCAGCTCATTGCAACCTCTGCCTCTAAGGTTCAAGCAATTCTCCTGCCTCAGCCTCCTGGATAGCTGGGATTATAGGCACCCACTATCGTGCCTGGCTAATTTGTTTTTGTATTTTTAGTAGAGAAGGATTTTCGCCATGTTGGCCAGGCTGGTTTCGAACATCTGACCCCAGGTGATCCGCCCACCTGGACCTCCCAAAGTGCTAGGATTACAGGTGTGAGCCACTGCACCCGGCCTCATCATTTATTTCTGTCCTAGGACTTCCAGCTTGTCCCTTTCCAGCTCGTTCGACAAGTTGACATCCTCTTCCTCCTCCCCTTAAATACCAGGGGTCTTTGAGTCTCCCTTGCTATCCATCATCCTCTACAGGCTAACAGCCCCTCCCATCATCCAGACTGACTCGGAGGTTACCCAGCAGCTCAGGGCCTTAGCCTATTCTGCATTCTTCTGGTGCTCTTCCACACACACTCCCCTGATCTTTCCCGAAACTGCCCTCCCTTGGCTCCTGTGACCCCGCGAAGCCTGGTTCTCCTTCCTCTGACTGGCTCTCCTTGTTGCTCTGCCCTTGACCCTCTTTGAAGTCTTCTCACTGCCCACTCTGGCAGTGCCTCCGCCCTCTTTTATAGCACCAGCAACACTTCTGTGCATCTGGCTCCTACATCTGAATCTCCATCGCAGTTAGGCTTCCAGAGCTGCTTCGTGTCCCCAGCTGCACCCAAGATTTTCTTTTCAGTCTTGGGTGGCAACTCAGTCTCTCTTGCTGACTGCCCCCTTTCATTCTCTTTTCTATTCCTTCTATTACCACCCTGATAGATGCTCATCACCTAGGTCACAGCCCTATTCTCTTCACTGCCCCTAGCTACTCTGATTATCCCACCATCAAAACACCACTTTAGTTCCATTTCTCCTATGCTCTTTGAATAAATCTTTTTTTTTTTCCTATTTTTTTTGGGGGGGGATGGAGTCTTGCTATGTTGCCCAGGCTGGAGTGTGGTGACGCAATCTCTGCTCCCTGCAACCTCCCCCTCCCAAGTTCAAGCCATTCTCCTGCCTCAGCCTCCTGAGTAGCTGGGATTACAGGCACCCGCCACCACACCCAGCTAATTTTTGTATTTTTAGTAGAGACGGGGTTTCACCATGCTGGTCAGGCTGGTCTTGAACCCCTGACCTCATGATCCGTCTGCCTTGGCCTCCCAAAGTGCTGAGATTACAGACGTGAGCCACCATGCCCAGCCTGAATGAGTCTTCTGAGTAAAGTCTTAGGATCTCTTCAGCTTGGTGTCTGAGGCCTACCAGGTTCTGCCCCCAGTTTACTTTTTTCCACCTACGGATCTCTGTGGCCTAGCTCTCTTGAGCTACGACATATTAGAATGGGCCAGGTACCCTCCTACCTTGAAGCCCTCCCCTATAGCTGCTTCCCCCCAGGATTCCATTCCTCCGCTCCATCTCCTGCTGCCAGAGTCCCTGCAGCTCCGCAAGCTGGAATGGTTCTAGGAATTCGAATGGCGGGGATGACCCAGGCAGAGTTCTACAGTTGACCTCGAGTCCCTGGAGAAAGGGGAGGGCTTAGGTCTTTGGTAACTTCTCCCAAAACTGTCTCTCCAGGAACCAGTGACCAGGAAAGACCATTGGGCTCCTTTGAAAAAGACTCCTCCCATCCCCTTTTTCCCCCTGCCAGATGCCAGCAGCTCTTCCTTGCCAGAGATGATCTGAACCGGTGGGGGCAGCTGGAAAGCAACACTGGCCCCCAGCTGAAGGGCCCAGCTGCAGCCGGACAGATGGTGCTTGAGAACCGAGGCCCAGTGATCCTCCAGCCACAGTCCAGCCCAACCACTGCCACTTTCCATGGGACTTAGAACTTCCGAGTTGCTGCCTTGCAATTGGAGGAAGGACCTGGGGCCCCTAGAGGCAGCAGCCAATTACAGCTCCTTTTGTAGCCAGGCGTTCCTATGGTCAAGGAGTGGAAATGCAGGAACCAACCTCCCTTGAAAAAAAAAAAAAAATCCAGAAAGCAGATAAAAATTGGAATATGGAAAAGGGCAAGATGACCCCACCAGAGGCTCTTTGGCCAGGAGGTGGAGTCCCTGCCTCCCTCCATTCCCTATCTGTCCTGTCACAGACTCTGCCTGACCCCCTGTCCCCTTCCTCAGCTCCCTCCAGGCACTTGGGTCCCTCCCTTCCAGGGCCTCCCATATCTCGGCCTTCCCCCAGGGCTGCTGGCCCAGCACACAAGCCCTGCACCTACCCTGGGTGGGAGGTCCCCGGCCAGTCCCCCAGGCACTCTGAGGTGCTATGGGCTGCTGCAGAGAGCATCTCCTGACTGCCCCATCTGGCCTCATCAGGCTGCTGCTGTTGGGGATGGGCTCACTCCCAGCACCTCCCCATCACACAGCAGGGGTGGGGAGGGTGGCCACCCCAGGGTGGCAGGGTCTTTAATTTGGCAGCAGACAAAAGCCAGTTCTGGAGTCACACCACAGTGGGGGCTCACAGGGGCTCTGACTCCCCAGCTGGACTGGAAGCCCAGCTGTCCGAGGGTGGACAGCAGTGGGCCCTGGAGTGACCCCTTTGAGCAGGTAGCAGGGCTGAAGAGCAAGGTGGGAAAGGCCGCCAGCCTGGGTGGGAGCGCCTAGGGCAGAAGGGCTTGCTGGGTGCCCCTGAGACGGGCTGGTGATCTGAGGAGGAGAACGCTGATTCTAGGAAGGCTTACACGGCACCCACCACTGCCACGGGGAGGGAGGCTGCCCAGCCTGTGGCCCCGCCCTGGACATGGGAGCGCGCAGACCTTCTGGAGAGCCGGGAAGCCTGGGCAGGCACGAGGCTTCGGCGCGGCTTCGGGAGGTTGGGAGTGGGATCTGATCCTTGGCGCGGCCCTGGTGGCCTCAGTGACCCCAAGATCACAAGGGCGTAGCGAAGGCGAGCCGGCGATTGCACCTCGTCCCACCCAGCCTGCCCGGACTCCCGACGCCGAGCTTCCCTTCTCTGGGGAGGGCCGGGACGCGCCGCCGCCGCCGAGCGTGACCAAGTTTGGAAACGCGCACGGGGCCGGGACGCTGGCTCGGGGGCCCTGCCGAGGAGCGGCCGCCCCCTCCACTGCTCCTCGCGCCAGGCCTGGGGTCCTGGAGGGAGGGGAAGGTCTCCGAGGAGTGCCTCGGGTCCCCAGCTCGAGTTCCCCACGGGTCTCTGAGCCTTCCCCGCGCCAGGACTGGCGCACTGCGGGGGAAGCCCCAGCCCCACGTCTGTGAGTGTTGCTTGTTATTTTTTTTCCTCCTATGTGTGGGTTTTTTCTTGGAGCTGTTTCATAGGAATTCCTGTAATAAAGAGTTGGTGTTCTCTTGGTGCTCTGATGTGGCCAGCGGCGTGGGCTGGATCCTCCTGCTCCCTCCTCCCTCCCCGCCTGGGGCAGGGTTTGTCCCCTGGAGCCCCGCGTCGCATTCCTAGGGTACCCCTGCCTTGCCTCGCCCATTCACCCGCAGCGCTCTCCGACTGCACTCTCGAGGTGACACCTGCGGCACCGCTGCACCGCTGCACCGCTGCACCGCATCCTTGCGGACTGGCCGGCTATGTCTAGCGCTGTCGCCTTCCTGTTTGGCCCAGGACAGTAAACCGCTTGCTGATAGGCAAGGGAAACACCCCTATGGGGAAAGCCAGTCTGTTGCGAAAGCTCCAGACGGCCACCTCCCTAAATAAACAGCTTCTGGATTAAAGGCAGACTGGAGGCTGCAGGGAAGTGCAATTGCACTTCAAAGGGAACTCAGAGATTGCCCAGTTGATACATCTCTCCTTCCTCCTCCTCTCCAGCTCAGCTGGACTACCCCTCATCCTCCGCCACAGGGACAGGGCCCTCGCTGCCAGAAGAGGAAGCTGGTGCCGTTTCCAGACAGGGCAGTTCTCAAGGTCGAAGTTTTTCCTTGTGTTGAGCCAACGGCCTTCTAGGGCTTCCAACCACACGTCTTCCTCCTGGGCTCTGGGTCACCGTTGCCAAGGCTGCCTCTCTTGCCCCTGATGCCATGTTTCAGCTCAGTGGCCTCACCCTCTCTCTTCCCTGACAACTCATGTGCTTCCTGCACTCCCTGCGGGGGCCTCCCCACCCATCAGGGTCTGGCCCCACCCCCAGTCAGACCCAGGGGGCTTGTAAAGTGGCACACCTGGGACAGGGTGATGCTCCACATGAGCTGTCCTGAGCAAACCAGGATTATCCTCTAGCCCTGGTTCTCTGCATCATATTCATTGCCTGGGAAGCTGTTCCAAATGCCAATTCTCAGTCCCATCCGAGACCTACTGAGTCGGAAACTCTGGGGGTGCAGCCCAGCAACCTGTGATTCTGATGCACACCACAGTTTGGGAATCATGATTCCAGGCCAGTACCTAGCACTGACTGTACAGAATTACTTGAGTAGCTTTAAAAAAATCCAGGCCAAGACCAGGCTCGGTGGCCACACTTACAATCCCAGCACTTTGACAGGTTGAGGCAGCAGGATCGCTTGAGCCCAGGAATTCAAGACCAACCCGGGCAACAAAGTGAGATCCACCCCCGCAAATCCCCGCATCTCTACAAAAGAAAAAAATAGCTGGGTTGGCGGTACACACATGTAATCCCAGCTACATGGGAGGCTGAGGTGGGAGGATCGCTTGAGCCCAGGAGGTCGAGGCCGCAGTGAGCTGTGATCATGCCACTGTATTCCAGGCTGGGTGACAGAGCAAGACCCTGTCTCAATTAAAAAAAATAGATCCTGGCCAGCCCTTGTGGTTCATGCCTGTAATCGCAGCACCTTGGGAGGCCAAAGTGGGAGGATTGTTTGAGGTCAGGAATTTGACGTTACAGTGAGCTATAATTGAGCCACCGCACTCCAGCCTGGGTGACAGAGCAAGACCTCAT